GTTTGAGGATTTAGGGTCTAGGATACAGGGCTTAGGGGGTTTACAGATTTAGGTCTGAGGCTTTTTACGCAGTCCCTAAGGGTCCATGTGCTCTATAAGGGCACCGTAATTCAGGGTTTAGGGAAGGGTTTAGGCTTTAGGGTTTAGGGTGTAGGGGTCCATGTACCCAAAAGTGCAAAAACCAAGGCCTTGTAGTTCCTATATAAGTAGTCACTTTCGAGGCCGAGCATAAACTTTCTGTGCACATGGGAACGTTCAGTTTTACGGATGAGGTTTTTGCGGTTTGGGGTTTAGGGTTTTGAGGGGTATGGTTTAAGGGTTTGTAATTTTAGGGCATAACGCTGTAGAGTTTCAGGTTGTCGTCTTCATGGGGGCGTCTGGTTCGACTGCTGACCATACTACCACACTGACACCATAAACCTAAAACCCCAAACTCGAAATCCCCGTGCTGCTTTGGTAGTAGAATTTGGGAGACCCCTTAAAGGGGACCCTTCTGAACCTTACTTCTGGCTCTCTTACAAAGGACCTTATTGAGAGGGTCTATATCCCCAAGGGTCCCCTAATCCTAACCCTAAACCCTAAACCCTAAACCCTAAACCCCTAAACCCTAAATCCTAGACCCTAAACCCCCAAACCCTAAACCCTATAACCCCTAATCCTAACCGCCTATCTTCGGAAGTTTGCGGCCTGTGGACGGGGCCCATCGAGCCCAAGCCTGGGTATAAGAATTCGCCGGATCTCCGCGGACCTAAACCTTAAGCCCCTAAACCCTAAAACCCTAGGGTTTAGGGTTTAGGGTTTAAGGTTTAGGGTTTAGGGTTTAGGCCCTAAGCCCTAAACCCTAAACCCGAAAAAACCCCTAAGCCCGTCAGACTTGCGCATGCAGCCTGCTCAGCCCAGCACAAAAATCATGTCACTACCCAAAGGCTCCATCCTACTTCCTTTTTGGGTTTTGGGTTTCGGGTTTAGGGTTTGGGTTTAGGGTTTAGGGCTTGCAGACTATACTTCCTTTTTTTGTAGTTTATGTTCAGGATTCAGTTAGGATCCTATAAGGTAATCCCAAAGAGGAACTACGATCGAGCCTATTCGTACACCCTAAACCCTAAACCCTAAACCCTAACCCCTAACCCCTAAACCCTATAAGCCCTAAATTTAGACACCAAAGGTCGGTAAGATCCATGAGAGTGGTCCACGATTGAGGATTCCAGTACTGGGGTTTAGGGATTTAGGGATTTAGGGTTTAGGGTTTAGAGTGGGCTATCTGACACCCTGTCCCAAAGACTGGAGCCCAAACCGCTGAAAATGAACCCCAAAGGACTTCTACATGCAAGCCCTGCGAAGTCAAGACAATAACTGAAGCCTTAGTAGCTGAGTAGGTGACCTTTTAACCTTTTGGGGTTCACATAATCTCCTAACATAATTGAAAAGGTTAACCTTTGTCGGGCTAGGGTACTCAGCCCCTGAGCCCTAAACCTTAAACCCTAAACCCTAAACCCTAAACCCTGAACCCTGAACCCTGAACCCTAAACCCTAAACCCTAAACCGTGGCTCTTTGCCCTTGCTGCCCTTAAGCCTCTGGACCTTGGACCTCACTGGAGACCCCGCATTTGACGCTTGGCAGGTCGTTTGCAGCGCCGAAGTTGATGGCACCGGCGCGCATGGGTGCTTGGATATATCATACATATGCTTATACATACATATATATATATATAGATGTATATATATATACTATATCATATCATATATATATATATACATGTATATATATATATATACACATAAATATGTATATATGCTCTCCTATTCAGCAAAAAGCTATGCAATCGAAACGGGGCTTACAGGATGACTCCGACAAGCTTGCCCCGAAGGGTTCATAGCTATACGGCTCTTCGGATATGCGGTTTGTCTTGTTCCCCTGATTGGGTATGGCGGTATAGCTTCTTTGATAGGGATCGCCAGACATTAACTTCGCTTCCCTGGTAAAGTATCCGTTATGTCGGACACAACAACACCCATTTGTATACCCTCTGTAACCCTCATATATTGAGCTTTATAAGGAGCCGTGAAAGGACCCCTCCAAGCAACCTACAAAGAAACCTCAGGGTATAGTCATCTAAAGTGCTCGGTCGGCGACCTTCTTGCAACCGATCCCTTTGGGCTGGAATGGACAAGAATCTGGGGGTTCTGATTGCAGATGAGGCTAGTTCAGGGATCTGAACCGAAGTATCAGTAAGCATTAGTAGATGCCCCGAACATTCTGTAACTATTCGGGCATTCAGTCAGGCAGGGTTGGAATACTGCAAATACCTAGCGATCCCAGCCGGTTACGCCAGTCTTGGAACGCATGTACTGTAGGAGCTGAATGATTCAGTCTACGACTCCCCCTAAACAAAAGAGCAGGAATATGCACCTATATTGCCTGGGAAGCGCAGCTTCTTTTGTTATAGGTGGTCGTGCCGAATTTGAACCCTAAGCCCAGGGTTTAAGGCTCGGGGTTTAGGGTTGAGGGCATATGATTTTGAACGTTGATTCATTCCGTTGGAAAATGGCGATGTCGTTTTTCTTTTGCCAGATTCCAACGAAGGAATCGCCATCTTCCAACGAAGCCGGGCCTTCGTTGGAACCTGGCGATTCGTTCGTTGGAACGTGGCGATTCCGCTAGGGGCCTTCGTTGGAACATGGCGATTTCGAGGGCTAGGGTTTGGGGCTTAGGGTTTACGGCTTAGGCTTGGGGCTGAGGTTAGGGCCCAGGCTTTGGCGCTCAGGATTTAAAGTCCAGGGCTTTGGGGCTTAGGGTTTAGGGCCTGGGTTTTGGGGCTTGGGGTTTAGGACCAGGTGCTGGGATTCCCCATACATTACTCTTCAGGATTGAGGCTATTGGGTTTCTAACTTTTCGGCTTCTACTATAAACCTCACAGCTTAAGCCCCGAACCTGAACTTTCATCTCGGAATCCCAGAACTCAGAAAGCCTAGATCCCAAACCCTTGCACTCGGAATCTCAGAACTCCGCAAACCTAGACCCCAAACCCTTGCAAAGTTTGACGCGCTAGGAGCTGGCTCGCTGTCGTCGGAACCTCAGTTTTTTTCCCTCTACTTTCGCCTTCGAGGTTCTTTGAATCCTATACATGACCATATATATATATATATATATATAGGGGTGGTTTAGGGTTTAGTGTTTTTTGTAGGGGTGGTTTAGGGCTTAGTGTTTATGTAGGGGTGGTTGAGGTTTAGTGCTTATAGAGGGGAATAAACCCTCGTCTAGTTTTCTTTCGCCCCTATGTTGCTCTACCCGGCCACTGCAAACCCTTCATGTGGCTCTGCATGAACCCTAAACTCCACCTCGCTAAACCCCAAACCCCAACGGTCCTGGTCCTGTATACCTTGCCTTAGCCCCCGAAACCCTACCGTATTACGGACCTCTTTCAGGACATCATAATAAAGGATTCTATATATGTTTTCGGTGGTCACAATGTAAATCCTCCTCCCGTAACCCGAAGAGTCCCTCAACACGTTTGCAGAAACCCTGTCCGCCCGAAACCCACAAATCTCCATAGGTGCCTCGATTTTGTCCGGAAGGAGTCCTTGCGACCTCCTGGAGTTCTTCTGAACGCTTCCCCCACGCCTCCATACCTGAAGCCCTGCAACCTGTACCCGAAAACCACCCCTCTAAACCCGAAACCCTAAACCAACGCAGCCCTAAACCCTAAACCCCTAAGCCCTGAACCTTAAACCCCCAAGCCCCTAAACCCTAAACCCCCGAAGCTCCCGAGGTTTACCCTGACCGGCAGCAGGAGCTTAAGTCCGGGAAGGCTCTATGCACTCGTGCTGCAGGCTCCCCCCCCGAGCTGCGGCGTCCTACGGTTTTTAGGGTTTGGGGTTTAGGGGTTTAGGGGTTTAGGGGTTTAGGGGTTTAGGGGTTTAGGGGTTTATGGGTTTAGAGTTTAGGGTTTAAGGGTTGAGGGCTTAGGGGTTTAGAGTTTAGGCTTTAGGCTTTAGGGTTTGGGGTTTGGGGTTTAGGCTGTGTGCTACCTATATACTGTAGTCTCCATGGTAGTTCCTTTCTTGTGGTTTAAGCGGTTCTATATTTAGGACCCTATAAGGTAAGACCAAAAAGGAACTACAATGGAGACTATAGGTAGAAGGGTTTCATCGGGGCTTTGGGGGCTTAGGGCTTTAGGGTTTCGGGTTTAGGGGCTAGGGGGGTATAGTGTGTCAGACAAAGCTGTCAAGGGTTTTGGAGAGTTTCGCCATGTTTGAACTATCTGAAGGAATTCAGCCTAATTCACGAACATGGGGACATACATCACATGTTTACCGTTTCCTTATCATGGTAACTTGTACTCAGTTCGTTAACATAGTTAACATGGGCTCACTGTCAATGTGTCAAGGGTCTCGCTCCAAAGCTGCGGATGACGGTAGGTGGGCGTCCACATGCGAATCCAACGCATCCTTATCCCGGGTCTTGAGGGCCCTACAGTAGAAGCCCCAAAGTTGGAAACCCAATAGCCTCAATCCTGAAGGTCAATGTAAAAGGGAGCCCCAGCACTAACTGTCCTTATTCCGGTTTCCAACTTTTGAGGGTTTACTGTAAACCCAATGAGGTGCGTAAAAAAAACCTAAACTATAAATGTGGAGTTGCTTGGACATCTGTGTGTAAACTGTGGGGATGGGGATCCATATTGTCAGGTGCGGGATTGGGTACCCCGACGTTCACAGAAAGGATTGCTGTTTCAGCCTCAACCCTAAACCCTGATTCCTAAACCCTAAACCCCTAAACCCCTAAACCCCTAAACCCCTAAACCCTAAACCCCTAAGCCTACAGGGTTTGGAGCTTGAAATTCAGGGTGTGGCGGTTTTTGTCTGGGTTCGGGAACCAGGCTGCGAGATGCATTGGGGCTTTGAATACATAAAGCTCCACGGGATGAGGGCCTTCAAACACGGGCTACGTGAGGGGTGTTGAAGGGGTTTCAAGGGGTTCAGGGTTCAGGGTTTAGGGTTTAGGGTTCAGGGTTTAGGGTTTAGGGCAATAGTTTAGGGTTTAGGAGTTTAGGGTTTTAGGGTTCAGGGTAGAGCGCGGTATAGGGTTTCAGCTCTGCTCAGGTTTCTGCAGCAAGGTGTGTAGTTTCAGTGATCATTGCGCCGCTTGTGATGACTCTGCTGATGCATGTGATTGAATGATGCTCAGCCATCACGTTTTGCCTTGGTGTCGATTGGCATGGGGTTTAGGAAGTTGGTGTTTAGGTTCAACCGCATCTTTACCCATGTAGGAGTTTGGTCCGTAATTCTCGCGAGCTTTGTTTCGAGCGTTCTTCCCACGTGTCCGATTCTACGCTTCAGGCATGGTCATTCATGCCCGATACTATACTATGATAGCGGCACGGACAATGCAAAGCGAAGTAAACCCTGAAGGCAAAAAGCCGCAAAGACCTGTAACCCCTAAACGCCATCAGGTGGGGTTTGCATTAGGGCGGCGGTGAGTCTTTGTCGGAACATAGGAGATTGTACATCTGGAATGTTGCCATATATGGGTTACGACCTGGTAAATGCTAGTACCCAAGACCTGGCTTCAAGTAATTCAGCCCTAAACCTAGATGCCGAAAAGGAGCTTCAACAAAGTGCTTTCTGCTTAGAGGCTCCAGCCGTGACGATCTGACTCCCGACAAAGGGCCCAAGAACAAATCCCTCAACCTCAGTTCCTAATTAAGCCACGACACCGAGTCTAGTTAAGAGCTCCTGCTTCTTGGAATGTGAACTTTAAGACGCTGGGTGATGTAGCCCTCGCGAGCTCATCAGAGTTGTGGTTTCCGAGGACAGAAACTCGGGTTTTGGTTTTGGGGTTCAGGGTTTAGGGTTGCTGGTTGTTTAGGGTTTGGGTGTGATCTTTATGAGAAGACGTGGAATTGTAGATTTTTAGATGCCCAAAACTGAACAGTGCTACCCCAGCAGGCTCAAAGCAGTTGCAAACAGCACTTTGAACCACCAGAAAAATCTGACGCCTCGTGAGAGCATTCGACTGCAACTCGAAACTTTGTGGGTTTGAGGGTGAAGGTTATATATTTGTCATATTCCCGAACACTGCACCCTAAACCCTAAACTAAACGGTAAACCCTAAAACCAAAAACCCTGTAACGAAAAGCCCTAAACCCGAAAAAACAAAACCTTGTAACGAAAGGCCCTAAACCCGAAAAAACTTATACATCGCGTTATTTCTCGGATGTGAAACTGCCTTAGCGCTTCGGGCTTGGAAGGTCATCAACCCCTACCAGCTGCCAGCACTTTCGACGTCCACCGACTGGACGGTGTGGACCTACAGTAACCCATCAGGCGCGGGTGTTGAATATGGAGTTTCGGGTGTTGGGGGTTCGGGTTTGGAGTTTAAGATCGAAGGTTTCAAGGTAGGTATTACGGGTAGTGTTCGCCACAGACTTATCGGGTTGCTAATGCATTGAGCATACTTGTTGGTATGGTACGGTTTGCGTGGTTGCCGTAGTTTGTTGCAAGCCTCTAGCAAGATTGACACACGATGGTCAGCATCATCGTCACCATCGTTGGCAAAATCGTCGTCGCCGCCATTGCAATGTGATCATCATGTCCACCGTCATCTTTATCTTCATCTTCAACTTCAGTTGTTCGTTACTTACGCTCTACGGCTCTGCGTTCAGCTTGACTTCAATATTCATGAGCACAAATCTAGACATTGAGGTGCATAAAGTCCATGTCATGTCCTCTCAGCAAAATGGCGGGAGCTCGGTTGGCACCCATCTTTGCACGGCACTGCGGCCCTAAACCCTGTAAACCCTAAACCCAAACACGGCACTGTGGCCTTCAACCCTATAAACCCTGAACCCTGGTGGGAGCTCGGTTCATCAGGTCCGGAAGCACCATAGCATTCAAGGTGCACGACGTTGGAAAAGACCGACAGGAATTCCATCCGTCTTTCCTAAACCCCTAAAACCCTAAACCCTAAACCCCTGGTAGCTCAAACTCCGAAGCACAAGGATCCTTGCAATCTATCTATATATATATATATATTGCTTATATATGTATCATACCTTAACCTACCAAAACCTACTTTTTTTTTTAGGGTGCCTATAAATTCTATATTAGGGTTTAAAGTAAGAACCTTCGAAAGAGTAGAGGTGGGTAGTTTAAGGGTACAGTTATATACTAGGATCCTGAACATTAAGACTCCCCGGATCAGTCACCCGAACATTTAAGGCACCCCATCGAGCCTCGGACCCGAAACCCTTGACCCTGATACGGTAACCGCTCTTTTCGTAAGCTCCTAACAAAGACTTTGTGCAGGCCTTACAGACAAGTAGGTTTGGTAGCTCAAGGTAAATACTTCGGGTTCCTCTATTGACATTGATGTAAGTATACAACTATATATATATATATACATACAATGTATAGTGTACTAAAATGCTGTTCCAATGTAAGGCCCTTATAACCCTTACGGTTACCCTTAAACGAAGCCCATGAACCCCAGTTTGCTTAGATCTGTAATGATTCAGCCCCATGCGGACAGTTCTCCAAATTAGGGCCCCTTTTAGGGTCCTTGTTATAACTTTAAGGGCGAAATACTATTTTGAGGACCTAAGAAGGGGACCACTATAACTTAGAGAACTACCTATTTTGAGAGGTGCTGCCGAAGCAGTACTCGATCGCACCACTTTCCCGGGTTTCCCGCTGATCCCGCGTCTGAGCACCTGGAAGGTGCGAAGACTTCAGCTGAGGGGGGGGGGGAAGTGCATTTCAGAGTTTAGGATTCAGGGATATCTAAGGCATTTAGGGTAGTTCATACGGGATATCTGCACTTGTATTACAACGGGTTTAGTGCTTCAGTGCTTGTATGTAGAAGGGTTTCGGGTTTAGGTTTTGCCAGGGCCTGTCCGGGCGTTTGAAGTTATTGGCGTTCTACTCATGGGCTCAGGAGATGGCGATGTTCAACAGGCTGTCGCACTAGAAATAACGAGTATTTTGGCCTTGATTCAACTCTCAGATCTTCGGTTTAGGGTTTAGGGATCAGGGTTTAGGGTTTAGGGGTTTCGGGTTTAGGGATCGAGCATAGTCCCCAGCTGTGAGACCTGACGATAGCGGTGATGATGAGAGTGACTGGTCATGGCAAGGATGACATTTTTGATCCTGACAAAGGCAATGATGTCGGGCATCGTGATGGGCGCGGAAGTGCTTGTACCGTCGTCTTGGTGGCAGCGGTGGTGGTGGTGGTGGTGGTGGTGGTGGGAGTATGTAACAATAGGAACTTCTGTTCGGGCTAGGCAACATGCATCGTCAATGCTCGAAGGAACTACCCGTTGCCACTGCTTCGAATCTGCAAGCTCCCAAACAAGTTCTACTTTAGGGTTTAGGGTTGCCCAAGCCACGATAGCTACGCAGGTCTAGAATCCAGGCGATGTCCGCGTGTTTCAGTTTGCTGCAGGTAACAGCTCCTTCAGTCCAGTCGGCTGGGCGCACCGTCTCAGGCTTGACTAGGGTTTGGGGCGCAGGGTTTAGAGCTTCCGGAATCCGGAAAGCTGTCCCGTGGAATCACAGACTGCGTGTCCGCTTTCGGTAGACCGTCGAAGTTTTGGAGTCTTTAGACCTTTAGCCTTCAATCTGAAACCGTTTACAGCTTCCGAGGCTTGAGTTTGTGGGTATTTTGAGGTTCCAGTGGGATCGCATGAGCAGGCGAAGAGCTGCAGTTTTTCTTGCAGGCGATCCTCGGAGGGAACATGCAGAGATCCCACTGGTTTTAACCCTCGGTGAAACTCCACCAGAAGCCTAAACCATTTGTGGGAGTGTTGTGTTTTCTTTTCGCATCCTCCCTGGATTGCATTACTTGCCAATGGGTCCCTCCACAGCTGGCGTGTTTTAGAACGGTATTCTAAAGACTAAGAGACTCTGTGCTGCGTAACCGCCGCAATCCTCTCTGCACGTGTAGCTCCGGCTTCACACGGCTCAGCACTGAGGGCACAGGGGTTACCAGGTCCCATGGAAATTTAGGGTTTAGGGTGTTGACGAGTTTTGCGTTCGCTGAAACGGGTGGTCCGAAAGAGCTCCCCGAAGGCAACTGTACTACTATTTACCTACCTGAGGCTCCCACGAAATGTCCTAAACTATAGGGGTGTCGCTGCCTAAAGCCTGAATAATTGGTAATCCTGCTCTGGAATTCCCTTCTTGTGCCTTAGTGTACCTCAGGACGCTTCTCGAAGTTCCAGATCATCATTACTCGTTGATGCACAAGTCATCTTGCTTTGACTTTGCTCGCGGAAGTTCTCCCCGCATGAGCTCATGACTCCTAACCCTGTTCCATTGCAAACGCGTGGCGCATGTGGCGTCATCTGCCTCGAAACCCTAAACCCTAAACCCTAAACCCTGAACCCTAAACCCTAAACCCTAAACCCTGAGTTATACACACGGCCGCAGGGGCACAACTAGGCACCCCGAAGCCCTGCTACGCCCAAGCCACAAAGGTCTCTAGACAAAGCCACAGAAAAGTTGACCCTAAACCCCTGAACTCCAAAACCCCAGATCTTAAAGCCCCTCCACCCTAAACCCTGGACCCGAAACCCCTACGCCCTAAACCCGAAACCCTGATGAAAGCCACAAAGGTCTCCAGAAAGAACCAGGGACAACTAGACCCAGAGCTGCTACGCCGCTACTCCCAGGTAGTTTAAAAGGGACCCTTCTGAACCCTACTTCTGCCTCTCTTAAAATTTAAAAGGGACCTTGTTGAGGGTGTCTATATTCCCAAGGGTCCTAAACCCTAAAACCTTAACCCTAAACCTAACTCCCAGCTACGACAGAGGCGTCCTCTTCGAGCTCTCCGTTCCTGCTTTGGTGGTTGCCGGGTCGCAGCTGCGCCTTGGACCACAGGTTTTCAGGACCCTCCTTGTAACATGGGGCCTTGATATAATTAGAATAGGGCTTTGGGGTATATTGTACTATTCTTAAGGAAGCCCAAAAACCCATTCTAATTATTAAGGCCCCCATATCACCTTCAAACAGGGGTATATGGGTAGTTCTCCAAATACGGGTCCCTGTTAGGGTTCTGTGTATAAGGGTGCCGTTCTAAACCGGCGACCCAAACAGGGAAACTAATTTACAGTGGCCTTCGTATGGTCCGAATTCATGGGTAATTTAAGGACTCAAATGGTTACCAATACTTTTTTTTTGGGGGGGGTCCTGAGTATAATTATAGTATACTAAACCCCAAAACCCTATTCTAATTATTAAGGTCCCTATTAGTTATAATGGCCCTAAACCCTAAACCCTGTTAGGGTCTAATAAAGGGTAGATGGAGGGTCTAGGGGGGCTTTCTTTGGTTGAGTTCTGGCCGAGAGCAATAAAGCTGAGGTTTCTTAGGGTTCAGGGGTTTAGGGATTTAGAGTTTAGGGTTTAGGGTTTGGGGTTTAGGGTTTAGGGGTTTAGAGTTTAGGGGTTGAGGGGTTTTAGAGTTTCGGGCAGTTCTGTAGGTTTTAGGGCTTATTTTAGGGTTGTGGTCGGAGCCTACTATTTCGCAGGGTCAGGTCAGGTTGGCATCTTGCGGTTATGCAGAGTGTAAAGACACATGATATGGGTCTTTCCGGTGTTCGCAGTGTGAATATCGAATTGGCTGGAGTCGGGCTTACTTTGCAGTTCATCTTTTTTCTCGCTTGCCAACAGGATCTGTGTGTGCGTGTTGTGAAGACAGCTCCTTCCCGGCAATGACCCTCGACCATACCATACTTTGCACCACTTTGGTCCCCCCGAGAGCTCAAGATGGTGTCTTTGGGGTCGTGAAATGCCAACAGGCGACGCTGTTTTACGGTCCCGCGCTCAACCCGCTACATGCTGGATCTCAACCAGCCCCCCCCCCCCCCAACCAACCCTGTACTGGGGCCTAAAAAAAGGGCCACGAGCACAACAACCCCAAGTCCTAGATTTTCACAGCCCAGTCTCGGGTCACGAACCCAGGACCTGGTAGAGCTGACTGAAACGTTGACACTCTGATCATCTCTGTTAGCGCTTCGGGTTTATAGGGCTTAGGGATCTGATCTGTAGATTCCGTCAAGCTTTCGATCTACAGGACGATGCAGGCAGTCATGGGAACAACCCTAAACCCTAAACCCCGCTCCTCTTTTCCAGTATCGGCTGCTTATAGCTTTTGCAAGATCGTGTCATGCCGTGGTGACCTTGGGCCGGCTGTTTAGGGTTTACGGTTTAGGGTTTAGGGTTTAGCCCTAACACTTCATGTGCCCAGATAGCATATACAAGGGCCTTCCCTATGTCGGTACTGTGGGGCCAGTTTTTGTACTATCTAGGTAATGTAGGGAGGGGCCTAAAGAATTACAAATACTGTGGTTCCGTATTATCACAACTATATAACGGGCCCCAAAACCCGATTCTAATTATTAAGGCCCCTATGTTACGTGACCCGAGGCTGATTCGCGCCCCCGAGGGCGTCGATATCACGAAGCCTCCTACTTGACCCGCGGCAGCGCTGGAGGGAAAGAACTGAGTATGCGCGGGGGTAAGTAGCCACGTCAATAGCCAAAAGAATAGCAATAATGGCAATGATAGTCGTAGTAGTAGTAGTAGTAGTAGTAGTAGTAGTACATTGTGCCGGAAATTTAGAACTATTTTGCGGAGTTGTGTTGGCAATCTTGGTCGGGACCAAGATTGCCAAGCAATGTTGGTCATCTTGCCCCTGCCCCACTTGCTCGCCGACTAGTTTACCTGTTGGAGACCCGGATTGCAAGATTGCTTGCGAAATGTACGGCGCCTATTATTATTATTCTGAAGAATAAAAGATGCTGTGGGAAGCAGTAGGAACCATGGAAGCAAGAGCTTCCTATCCTCCGGACCATTACACAGGGTTTCAGACTGTGGGGTTTAGGGTTGTAGGGGTTCAGGGTATGCAGCATAGGGGTTTAGGGTTCTTAGATTAGGGATCAAGCATCTTCAGCAATCGGACGAACCCCCTCTTCGACCAGCAATGTCAAGCAACACGCCCGCCGCCAAGCCCTGTGAATGAAATCAAGTCAAGCCGCCAACTAAAAGGATGCATCCGAAGTAACGCGCAAGCTATAGTAGACTCAACCGCATAGAACCTTCTCAAAGCCTTGAGAAATCAAGAAAGACTGTATATGAAGCCTTGAACCCATTGAAGCTCAGTTCTGTCCCACACGATCTGAGAAATCTAAGGCTCCACGCAGTTGGGCAGCGTCCTGGGTGGAAGGAGCTGACGTTCAGGGTTTCTTGGCCTAGGTCGGGTGAGGGCTTTAGGCTTCTACGGTTTGTTTCAGGTGTTGTTTACTGCCTAGTTTTTAGGCACGGCGGACTATTTGACTCTCCGCCGTTAGGGCTATCCTGCTATTTCTCAGTAGTGCATAATTACAGCTGTGGTGGTAGGGTTTGGGGCTGGCGGCTGGAGGTCCAGGTACATGGTCCTTGCACGTTGAAGATAAAGCCGGTTTGCGCATTCGATTTCGGCCCCAAGCCCTGAACTCCTCAAGGGTTTTGGGTTTTGGGTTTTGGTGGCACAGGGATTAAGGTCTTCAGGGTTTTAAGGGTTTAGGGTTTTGAGTTCGGGGAAGGGTTGGGTTTAGGGTTTTGTGGTATAGGCTTTAGGGTTTAGGGTTTAGAGTTCGGGGGGGTTGAGTGTTAATGTTCAGGACTTCGGTGAAATCCACTCAGCCCTGCACCTCTAGAGCCTAAACCCTGATCCCTCAATGCGATGTTTAGGATGTTAGGGTGTAGGGCGCAGGGTCTAATGAGTCCAAAAACTAAAGCATATCCAGAACTAGACCCGGGAGCTCAGGCCTTGATAGGATTTGGGGAGTTTGTTCTAGGGTCTAAGTGTATGGTTTAGGGCCGGGGTTTGAGGGTATGCGGTCTGGGGGTTGCAGTGTAGACGGTGTAGGGTTTGGGGTGTGCTGTCAGTAACTAGTCGGGGCTCCAGGTTGGAGGGTTTCTGGATCTGGAGTATACCGCATACCCTTTACCCTAAACCGTAAGCCGTCAGTTTACCAGTGTACACTGACGCCCTTGGTGTTCACAGGCTGGAGACCAGCTGCTGGATCTTAAATATACCAGGACCTCCTTGTACCCTCAAGCAGGGGTATATCGTCCCAATTACGGGATATTTCGGGTCTGATGGAGGGTAGACGGAGGGTCTAAGTAGTATGGTTGAGAGTCCAGGCGTGAGGTTTTGGGGTTTCGGGTTTAAGGTTTGGGGATTAGGACTATGTTCGTCGGATTGTTAGGCAAAGAGCAGTGGGGCTGTTAGTCAGTTAATTGTGAGAAGGAAGGATTCATGCCAAGCTAGATAGAACATGAAACCCTAAACCCTAATTCAACTTCCCCTAATAGATGGCACATGGACATTAGGCCCTAAACCCTAAACCCTGAACCCTAACCCCTAAACCCTAAACCCCGAAATGAAATCCTAAATCCCGAAACCCTAAACCCTAAACCCTGAACCCTGAGCCCTAAACCCTGAACCCTGAGCCCTAAACCCTAAACCCTAAACCCTATAAACCTTAAACCCGTGTAGGGTACTTGGGGGTTGCACCCTACGCCGACCGTATGCTGCTGCGAAGTACCACAACGATCGGTCGCGCGGAGTCGCTGCAGGCGAGGGTTTTGGGTTTTAGCGGTTTCGGGGCTTAGGGATTTTGGGTTTTTGGGTTTTAGGGTTTAGGGATCCCAAGAATTTCGGGGTTTAGGGTTTAGGCTTTTGGGATTTTAGGGTTTAGGGATTTTGGGATTTTGGGATTTGGGGATTTCGGGGTTTCGGGTTTTTTTAGGGGTTTAGGGGTTTAGGGGTCCCAAGGGTTTCTGGGTTTTGGGGGTTTCGGGGTTTCAGGATTTAGGGTTTAGGGGTTTAGGGGTCCCAATGGTTTCGGGGTTTAGGGATTGTGGGATTTCGGGGTTCGGGGTTTTCGGGGTTTCGGGGTTTCGGGGTTTAGTGTTTTAGTGGTTTAGGGTTTAGGGTTTAGGGTTTAGGGTTCAGGGTTCAGGGTTCAGGGTTCAGGGTTCAGGGTTTAGGGTTTAGGGTCTAGGGTTCAGGGTTCAAGGTTTAGGGTTCAGGGTTCAGGTTCAGGGTTTAGGGTTTAGGGGTTTAGTGGCTTTTAAGGGATTCAGCGTTTAGGGTTCGCAGACTTAGTTGGGTTCAGGGGTTTTGAGGTTTGTAGACACGCATTGCTAACAGAAGGGCCCTAATAAATAGGAAAAAATCTGGGGCCCACTATACTATAATTACAATAAGGAGCCCGCCCAAAATAGTTTTGGCCATTCTTTAGGCCCCTACATTAGGGTTTTGGGGCCCACTATACTACAATTATGATAATTCTTTGGGCCCCTAAACCCTAAACCCTAAACCCCTACATGAGGGTTTCGGGCAGCTTCGGGCACTTTAGGCTTGGCTCTCTCGGGGTGACAGGGGGGTCTCGGGCTACTGAGGAGCTTGGGGCATTGACGGTTTAGGCATTGAATATAGGGCCCTGCTTAATTACCTATACCATTTTGGGGGTTCCTTGTTGGAAGTATAATATAATATAGCCCGAAACCCTATTCTAAGTATCAAGGCCCCTACATCAGGGTTTTGGTGTTCAGGCTGTAGGGCTTGGGACTAGGACCAGAGGGCCATGGGATCCATGTGCGCTACCTTGCAGGAACGCTTGCCTGAACCGGCGCCAAAGACGGGCATGAATTATGTACATGAAGTAGCGTCAGTACCCCGAGGTTTAGGATTCAGGGTTTAGGAGTTATGTTGATTGTATGGATGTCTCCTTCGGAGTGCACTGGGGAGCCTACTTGGGTGCCCTGTTACCGGAGTGCGAGTATGTAGCGCAACCCTGAACCTTGTGTCTTCCTTCCATTGCTAGCCCTCGTTTCAGGCATGCGCCTTGCGTGTCTGGCAGGAAGTGGAAGAGGCGGCTTCTGATAGTGCCACCAGCCGGTCACTAGCCGTCATGAGCTGCAGGGTTTTGCAGTTTTAGGGCTTCATGTTTAGGGCATATTACGTGATGCAAAGGGTTGTGAAACCTCCATGTTCGAACGTCATATTCTCGGCGGATATGCACATGTGTCCTTGTTGGTGAACAAGAACAGCATACCGACATACTTGTGCAGGTCTGAATGACATATGTGTAACCTTTCTGACTGTATTGTTTCTGCATACGATTGCATTGCCAACCTGAAACAGACTGTTAGACGGATATGCAACCGTGCATGCCCCATACGTAGGTGGGTACATAGTAAACATGTACATAGACTTGTACTGTTCATATCCACATACACCACACATGCATATGAACAAGTCGACATGTAGATATACATGTACATGTACCTGCATATTCTGACACACATACTTACATACAGAGCAATACAAGCATGCAGTTCCTCATTTATTATCCTGCATGCATGGCTCTGCATGCATGGCTCTGTTGGTTTCGTCCCACCGCATCATCTCCCTAAGCAGTCGGCGAAAGTCTTACTGCGGTCCCGTTCGATTCGGCCTAGTTTAGACACCGACAGGTAGCCGAAAAAACAGCCTTGGGTTTGCAGGTCATCCTGCAAATCTCTGTGCTTTACTGTTTCGAACAAGATATCAGGGCCTCCGCAAGCAAGAATATCGTTCCGGTGTAACTCGGGCAACTCCTAGCTTAGTCATAGACTGGACAGGGAGACCCTAAGCCAATCATGTGGGCGCCTGGGCCCTAAGGCCCTAACTCACACACTCTCAAAGCCTTGAATGCAAACTCCTGCAAGCCCTCAACCTACAAGTGGTATACAGGCCAAGCCAAACCATTAATCCCACACCCTGTATCGACCTTGCCCGGCCCTAAACACCCACCCCAAAATATTAAGAGCCCCAAATACTAAGCTTTGAGCATGAAAGGGCCCCTACAACCCCAAACTTCACCCCAAGGGTCTTCAGCTTTACAAAGCACTGTCACACACGCTTCTGGAGTTCAAAGGCCCTAGATTAATCGCCTGGAAGGCGTCTGCCGCATCCTGGAGGACTTGGGACGGTGTTTGCTTCTTTGGCTGACAAAGCGAGTGGGGGCGGGGGATTCCTAAACCCCTAAACCCTAAACCCTAAACCCCTAAACCCTAAACCCTAAACCGATTCACTTGGGAATGTAAGGAATTGAGGGGTCAGGGCGCAATGTTGGTCTGCTTTGAGCCTTGTAGGTCGTTGCAGGGTTAGCTCAGCAAACAAGTTAAAATTCGGGCCTGGTTTTTAGATTAAGGGTTTAGGGTTTAGGGTTTTTAGAAGCTATATCATCTATGCTGTGGCGGTCGCTTGGCCCTGTGGGCTTTCGTGGAGGGGATGTTGCAACTGAACTGTGCAAGTGCCTATCCGTGGTCCGTTCGGGATCGGTCAGGGTCTTCTAGGGTAGTAAACCTGGGAAAAGGCCTCGCTTCCAGCTCCTCTTCTAGCGTTAAAATAGTGGGCCTGTCAAGCGATCGTTCTCACAGATGGCACAACGATGACTATGGCACTAATCTGGCTGCCAGCACAGCTCGAACCACGTTTGGGCTGAAAGGAGAAATGCTTGGCATTCCGATGGCAAAGTTACCCTCACGGCCGAAAATGCCATTCTTCATGGCGCATGAACTGAAAACAGGTCGGTTCCGAAGTGTGCAGGACCCTAAGGGTTTCAGGAGTTCGGGGCTTTAAGTTCGACTTCCAGGATCTAGCATTTAGAGCTTGTGGGCAGAGATGCCTGTGAACCCTCCTCAGTACTGGAGCACTTTGTAGCACACAACCCTGCAAAACCCTGGTCTACTCTTCAAGAGGCCCTATGCTATCATTGTATCACCCCCCACCCTGGAAGCCAAGATGAGATGTCAAGGTTCGGGCCATGTGGATATCGGCAGTCTATCGATTTGCAGCACAGACGATGACTGCCCGGAAACCCAGCGATTTCATGAGCTACTGTTTAGGGTTTAGGGTTTTGCGAGTTTTTTTGTTGTTGTCCGTGTGTTGGGCTTAAGATATTCGCAGTTGAACAGATTTACGGCTTCAGAGATTTAGGGTCTAGGCGAACTGGGCGGTTTAGGGTTTAGGGTTTAGGGTTTAGGGTTTAGGGTGGGGGCTATAGGTCGAAGGGATTTTTCGGGATTCGGTTCGGGCTTCGAGGGCCTGGGATGGCTTGAAGTGTCCGGGTTTCGGGGTCTGGTTCGAGTTTACGGCTGAGGGCTTTGGGCTGTCAGGGTTTAGGGTTTAGGGTTTAGGGTTTAGGGTTCGGGTTTAGGGTTTCGGGGTCGGGTTTCTGCAGTTTCCTAGTATAATTCAGTCTAATCCAAGATTCAAAAGTATGGGTATATAACTATAGCGAAGACACTGTGCAGGAACAGTTTTACTATGATGCGCTTATCCTCCGCGCTTGTTGGAATTAGCTTTCGGGTTTAGGGGGTCATACTCGGTCTGCACCCTGCATTGGTCTCCCATTTGTCGACGGCTGTTCCCTGAACCTTAGGGAATCGATCAGGGTTGCTTGGCTTCAAAGTTTATGGCTCAGGGGCTTTGTGTAATTAGTAAGTGGGAAGTTTCTCCGATGACGCGGGCTTCACATCTGGATCACGGCCTTCGGGTTCAAGGACTGGCAGCACACTTTGTCGGACTGCTGCGCTGTACTAGGCTGCGCACGCAAACTGCCCGAACAGTGCAGTGTAGTCGTGTAGGGTCCCCTTGTATTCTTTAACTATCCTTCTCATATACCCTACAGATATATCTGATTGGGAGCGCCAGTCTTGATGCTGACGGTTTCTATTTATCAAGATTGTTATGGCTACTCAGCGAACCTATTGTAAATGATTACGATCCCCTTGGTACTCCAAGGTTCAGACATCATCTACGAGGCCATGCCTTTCTGCTTCAAGGTCTAGAAACCTTGCCGCCTCGCTTGGGGTCCTTGTCAAGAAGTCCCTGTAAAGGCACGTAAAATGGTCGGGTTCTTGAGGATTTAGGGAAATTCTGTGGGCCTTGGGCATAGCGTGGAAGGCTTCGGGCCAGCTCCGGATGCTTCCTGCTTAGATTCCAGATCGGGATTGTCTGACAAGCGGTTTAGGGTTTAGCGTTGAGGGTTTAGGTTGTATCCAGGCGGGTGTTAAAGCTAGGATGTGTCTTTTGGGTCAAAGGGCTTGCAGCCTTAAGCGCACCGTTTCCCTAAGGTCCATGTGCCCAGATAGATAGTATATACTTTGGCCCCAGAGTACCTGTACAGGAATTACCGTTAAGGCCATCTTGAGAGCCAAAGTACATACTACTTGGATATATGGACCCGTAATGTTAAAGGCAGTAATCCCAGGGTTGGTGTTTTAGGGAGGTACTGGGTGATGGCCCCACTGTCTGTGTGTTCATGGATAAGGCCCTGTTGTCAGGGTTGTTCTGGCCCCAACCTTCGTCGAAACCCTAAACCCTGAACCCTAAAGCCTTGTTTGAGAGGCACCCTCGGGCTGTTTCAAAGTGAACTCAGACCCTCTACCGTGGCTTTGTCCTAAAGATGTTAACATGATGTAGGCTTCGCAAGTAACGTGTTTCTAGTTCATGTACCGATTCTTCTTCTCTTGTCGCCGTGGTAGTGATGCGATGATTTCCCTGCTATGATTCATAACGGCTGCTCGCCGGAAGGTTTGCAGCCTGACGACTTCACGTCGGGAGTGCCTGGAGCTTGGCAAGATTTGCCACTTTCTAACCTTAACCGCAACCCGTCTGAAACCCCAAGCCATGAACTAAACCCTAACCCCCCAGGTGCCTACTATATAGGGTACTGGAGCCCCCTAGGGCCCTATATAGTAGGTACCTGGATGGTTAGGGTAAATGAGTGTGAGTGAACTAGCTTTCCGGGCGGAGAGGTTCCGGGTTGCGGAGAGGGCCCTGCTTTCATCCCACAGCCTAGCAGCAGGCTCCTCACACCACGCCCTACTCCTTTGACCCGTCAAAACGTATTTCTAGAGTGTTCAACCTCCCAACTGACAACTACTAACCGTAAACCCTAAACCCTAAACCCTAAACCTCCCCACCGACAACTACTAACCGTAAACCCTAAACCCTAAACCTCCGAACTGACAACTACTCTTTCAATGCCCGGCTTCAGGTCGGACGAGGCGATATGTGGGCATCAGCAGTAAACCGCACATCTCCGAAACAGGTCGCACAAGCTTGTGCAACAGGAGTATTTAAGTGATTTAGGGTCTATAGGCTTTGAGTCGTCGTTACACCCTCTTAACAACGATAGTTGAACAGGAGACAAGAACGGACGGTAGTGCAGAGAGTTGCAGACATTGCAGCATGCAGTAACCGCAAGAGTCCTCATGGGCGTCGTCTTCGTGGCACTTGTAGTAGTAGACCCTAAACCCTAAACCCTACACCCTAAGCCCTAAGCCCTAAACCCTAAACCCTAAACCCAAAGCCCTAAACCCTATAAACCCTAAGCCCTAAACCCAGGCCACGGATTCGCATACCGGGGCGCTGTGTCGCTCTCCGTGATCCCCAGCTGTGCGAAGCGACAGCTACGGCTGGTTCTTGGGCAGGCACCTGCAGACCCTTTAGCTTGAGGGCCATCTTTAGGGTTAGGTTTTAGGGCTTAGGATTTGTAGGGGTTTGGGTTTAGGGCTTTAAGGTTTAGGGCTTTGGGTAGGGCTTAGGATTTATAGGGGTAAGGGTGCAGGGCTTAGGGTTTAGGGCGTAGGGTTTAAGGTTACCGGAGGGCCCGTCACAGGATTTTTGTCATCATACGTCATACTGGTGTTAGTTCACCCCTGCGGGGGGAGGTTCTCCAGTAGAGCCGTTTAGGGTTCAGAGCTTTTTGGGCCAGGGTTCGGCACACTAGGTGGAGGCCAGCCAGACCATTATCCCAAGGTTTAGGGTTTAGGGTTTAGGGTTTAGGGTGCTAGGTCCAAGGTACTGTCATGGGGGATGCTTTCCCCAACTCGTCATGACAATTCCTACGACTATAGAAACCCTACGTTCAACTATATAGGTACTTTGGACCCTTTGGGTACTGAGATCTATCCAGAAGTTGGGACAACGGTTCAAAAGGACGAAAAACCTGAGACCCGAAACACGCTAACAGAATCAAACCTTTTATGAGCCATAACCCTCAAACCAAAGCCCAATGCACTCTAAGCACCCGAAGTTCGGGGGACACTGAGAAGCACAATATAATTAATATAATGTCAAAATAGTCCCTTACTCGGTATCAGGTACCCCAACTGTTAGGAACCTCACCCAACCCCACCCCCAGTCCCATTCAGCCATTTCACCCCGAACTGGGGCAGAGAACTTCGGCGATTGCTCAGCTCTGTTTTTTCTTTTAAGACTTTGGGTTTAGGGCTTATATAATATAGGAGTTTAGGGATAAGGGATTTCGGGTTTAGGGTTTAGGGATTTTGACTTTTGCGGCTTGGGGTTCGAACCTGTAGAGCCCGGTGCTCAAAAGGGGGTCCTGCGGTTCCAATTTAGGGCTTAGGGTTTAGGGTTTAGGGCTTAGGGTTCAGGTTTTAGAGTTTAGGGTTTAGGGCTTAGTAAGGGCTTAGGGTTTAGGGGTTAAGCTTAGGGTTTAGAGTTTAGGGTTTAGGGCTTAGTAAGGGCGTAGGGTTCAGGGTTTTAGGAGTTTAGCTTAGGGTTTAGGGTTTAGGGAAGGCCCAGCTAAAGCAGCGCCGGATATTTCAAAAAGCCCTACGACGAGGCCAGGCTTAAGGGCTGAAAACCCGGCTGCTTCCGGAACTCTAAACTCTAAATTCAATGCTTCTAGAGCCCTGGAGCCCTGGAGCCTGGGGGCTGAAGCTAGAGTTTAGGGTTTAGGGTTTAGAGTTTAGGGTTTAGCATTTAGGGTTTAGGATTTAGGGTTTAGGGTTTAGGGTTCAGGGTTCAGGGTTTAGAGCTTCGCATTGAAGGCCTAGGAGGTTGCCTGAAATCAGGCCGATTTCTGGGTGCTGGGTAGGGTTTAGGGTTTAGGGTTTAGGGAGTTTGGGGGGGGGGCATAATTAGATGCCATGTCGCACGACCCTCATAAGGGGGCTTAGAGTTTAGAGGGTCGAGGTTCAGGGCTTCTAAACCAAAAGCCCTATGTCACCCTCAACCCCTACACCCTGAACCCTAAACCCTCAACGGGTGGTGTGTTCAGGGTTTTGCCTCTACATCCCAAGCCTCCAGCCTCTCGGCAACAAGCCTAAACCTAGGGTCTAGGGTTTAGGGTTTAGGGTTATCAACAATCCTAAACGCTTCTCACCCTGCACCTTTCAAGCTGGACAATATGATAAGGGTTTAGGGGCCATGATCTGACACCTTGGTGACATGAACAGCATTTGCTAGTAGTCCCTATACACAACCTTACGTAAGTAGTATACTCCCTAAACCCGATTCTGATGATCAAGCCCCTACACCCCACACTCCCAAAAGGTCCTAGGTACTGTTACGGGGGATACTTTCCCAAATCATAATCACAATTCCTAATACAGAAACCCTACATTCTACCATATATCTACGGTCGGACCCATGGGCCCCTAGTATGGGCCCTTAACCCTGGGACCCTTATATACCTACTATATACCCTATATGTACCCTTAAGGGACCCTAGAACCCCTAAGGGCCCATATTAGGGGCCAATACTTCTAACCTTGGAATATAGGTACTTTGGACCCTTTGGGACTGTGACAGGCGGACTCCATCCCAAGCGAGCGGCTTTGGCAGTTCCAGCTGAATGTGAAGAACCCCACAAGTGCCGACCTGAGACATGCTCCGACAAGAGATTTTTTCAGCAGCTCATGCGATAGAACATGGTGTTTAGTGTAGGGGCCTATATCATTTTATGCTAGTTTGGCAGTTTTTATTACAACTTTAATATGATATACATCGAAACCCTATCCTAATTATTGAGGCCCTTACATTAATTGCGGTGGAGAGGTGGCTTTTGGGGTTTTGGGAGTGCTGAAAGCATAGCCAGTAGGATGCTTGCTCAGCGACGGGGCATCTTTAGATGCAACATATAGGGTCTGCAATTGCAACTGTTATTTTTGCTTTTTTTTTTGCGTATGTGTCTGGAGTCTCTATGTTTCGTACATCTATGTATGTGTTCATGCATGCACGTGCTGTTGTTTGCACGTATGAACGGATGGATAGATAGATAGATGGGTACACATGTCAGCACGGAAGCACATAATGACATAATAGGGCACACATTCCCTTTACACAACCTCTGTGTTTACACAGAAAAGCCATAGAACAGCCTGATACTTGCTTTGGGGTTTGGCTAGAGAGACAGAGAGAGAGAGAGAGAGAGAGGAAGACTGGGAGAGGCCCGAAGCACTGAAAACTGATGTAGGGTTTAGGGTTCAGGGTTCGGGGTTTAGGCTTTTTAGGGTTTAGGGTTCAGGGTTCAGCGTTTGGGCTTTTTAGGGTTTAGGGTTCAGGGTTTAGGGTTTAGGGTGCATAAAATCCACTTAGCTGTCAGATCTCCTCACCAGAAGGTCTCCGACATCTGAGCATTTCCATGAGTACCAATGTCGGAAAAGAACAGCATCGCTTGTTTAGGGGATTCTGGGGGGGTAACTGTTTTAACTGCAGCAGAAGATGTTGACATGGTATTTGGGGTTTGTATGTAGGTTTAGGTAGGGTTAATGCTTTTAATGTAGAAGAGGATATGATGGGGTATGGAAGGGTACTACCATGTACATCGATGTCTAGAAAGGGAGCGGTAGTGCCTGCAAAGGCGACATGAACCTTCTCTAACCTCACAGAACCCTAAACCCTACACCCTAAGTTTTAAGTACGAGGATCACCTAGACCGACCGATGGGTTGCGTGAAACCCTACACTTATCACCCGACGCTGAGTACTCCACGCCATCCCCCACCCTAAGGGTCCATGCACCCAACTAGTATATACTATCATACTTTGGCCCTTAAAGTACCCATATAGGGACGACTTTAAGGAAGAAGTGTATACTCTTTGGGCATATTATGGAACCTTAGCGAAAACCCACACCGTGGTTAGCTCAGGCAATCCGAGCATCCAGGAACAGTTCTGGCAAGCCGAGGCTCATGGAGGGCATTTCTGGAGTTTTCTAGTTTGGGTGATATTAAAAAAAACCCGAACGGGGAGGGTTTAGGGTTTAGGGTTTAGGGTGAGACTAGGTTGACGAAATATGTGCTGGGCTAGGAGGTTAAATCTTTCGAAGCACTACAGCATCGATCCGAACCACGAACTTACAAAAAAAACTTGGCTTAAAGACTGGGTTGATCTCTGCTTAACGATGTGTTAGGTTTTGGAGAGACGACTTGTGGTTTAGGTCCTAGTTTCGGGGCCGGGTGTGCAAAGTCAGTGCTTTATGTTGTTGGACTTTAGCCTTTTGAACCTAGAACAGAGGTGTTTCATACATTATGTACTTATACGGTTGCCCAAAACTCTCGACCGAGCACGAAGGATCTATGACAAACTCTTGCAAACGCAGATACAGCCCCGTGCAACTCCAAGACCCTATGAAACTAACACCCTCTTCCAAACCGCACAGCCTCTCGTTTACACCTGTACGCATCATCTGTGCTGGTGTATGGGTGTTGGTTTGATCGAGGCTTTACAAGGCTAGTATATATATATATATATGCCTTAACTTAATGGTTGAAATTAGAACAAGATTTCGGAGTATACTCTAATGTGGTACAGACGCTATAGGGGGTGATTGTTGCAATCTAGCAGACACTTGTATAACCCAACCAGGAAGCGCAAGGCACATATTGCGGCGGGGCTGTTACAACTTCGCTTTTCCTCTCATGTAAGTGAGTTTTGTTTGAGCACTGCATGAGCAACGCGTGTTTTTCTGGCGGGGCTTGCAGCGGAAAGCCGTCTTCCCGAGTTTCGATCTCTCACACACACACACACACTGCTTCCTACCGCAATAGAGTGAATTCAGGAGAAGTTGCGCCACGGACCCAGTCAGTAGGAACAGGGAACTCCTGATGAGTCAACCGCCCCTCTAACCCCAAACTCTAAACTCCTCACGGGCTCTATATGCTGACAGCCCCTAAACCCTAAACCCTAAACCCTAAACCCTAAACCCTAAACCCTAAACTCTTAAACTCTAAACTCGAACAGACTCTAACTCCAGAGCCTACCTATAGTCTCCATTGTAGCTCCTTTTTTGGTTTAACCATTTTTATATTTAGGATCCTACAAGGTAACCCCAAAAAGGAACTACAATGGAGACTATAGGTAAACAATAAACCCTAAATTGTGGCTTAAAACCCAAAACCCCATACTATCCCCCATAACAGTACCTAGGACCCTTTGGGAGAGCCTAAACCCTGAACTCTGAAGTCAGCGTCAGGTCTACGAACCCTCGGCGGGCGAACCGTCCTTCGCCGCTTCTGCCGAGGGCTGGCGGATCATCCCAAGCCTCCTTGCGCTGGGGGCCTGGAATCTGCGTGTTCGGAGTTAGGATTAGTGGGTTTAGGGTTTGGGGTTAGGATTTGTGGGTTTAGGGTTTGGGGTTGGGACGGTTAGGAGTTAGGAATTGTGGGTTTCGGGTTTGGGTTTCGGGGTTTTGAGTTAAGGTTTCGGGTTTTGGTCTTTGGGTTTAGTGTTTGGGGTTTGGGGTTTTGAATTAAGGGCTTTGGGTTTCAGTCTTTGGGTTTAGGATTTTGGGATTTGGGCACCATACCCATAGTCTCCATTGTAGTTCCTTTTTGGGGGTTACCTTATCGGATCCTAGATATGGAATTGGTTAAACCAAAAAAGGGAACTACAATGGAGACTATAGTTAGGAGTTAGGATTTGTGGGTTTCGGGTTTGGGGTTTGGGGTTAGGAATTGCAGGTCTAGGGTTTGGGGTTAGGACGGTTAAGAGTTAGGAACTGTGGGTTTAGGGTTTGGGGTTCTGGGGTTCTGGGGTTTTGGGTTCGGGGCTTAGGGTTATAGTCTTGTGGGTTTAGGGTTTAGGGCTGCGGCGTATGGGTTTGGGGTCTAACTAAGGTGAACTTGTGGTGTAGGCTTTGGAGCTGGGGCTGATAGGGTCCAGGGTTTAGGGTTTAGGGTTTAGGACTGATGAAGATGGTTGTCCACTGGTGTTCCCATAGCCCGCCCAAAAGATGCATTCACAAATCTTATGAACAAAGCCTTACATGCACTTACCACTATCCCGACTTGAAGCCGAACTTGTCTTGCAGCGCACCGAAAAGGCCTTAAACGGAATCCAAAAGAAAGCGCCACGACAAACAACCACAACAAATGCAGATGGGAGTGAGAATTGAAACCATGCCTGAGCCCCATAAACACTATTAAATCAAACCGAAAGTCTTTTTTCCACGCAATCTTAGGACGAGGGTCACATTGCTGGGCCCCCTCCTGGCCACTGGAAGCCTCTCCACTCTCGAGGCGAAGTGCGAAACTCGCCGTGTGTGTGTGTAGGGTTGGGTTTGGGGTTTAGGGTTGAGGGTTTAGGCTTTCTGATTGTGTTGTGTGGTTCATAGTTCTATAGTTCTTTGGGTGAATCATAGTCGTGTCTTAGATGTGGGCCTTTGTTCGTGTCTTGTGCGTGGGTTCTCTTGTTTCGGGGCATCTACGACCAATGTACAGGGTTTAGGGTCTATAGGGTTTAGGGCAACCAGGCGACGGAAGTAGAAGATTCAGTTAGCATCTTCCGTTTATAATTCTCTAACCATGCCCACACCCCTTCGGCCCAGAACCCAGACACTTACACAGAAACCCACAATTGACCCACTAGAAACTCAGCCACTCGACCTATTCCAGGTCATATTATACACCCAAACCGTTAGAAACTCAAGCACATGACCTATTCTAGGCTATCCTAAGACCCATACACCTTAACAGCCTTAACACATGAAAAAGCATAGTATGCAACCCCAACTCCCGGCAAGTTCCCACTTGTGTTTCTCATGTACAAACCCGACCTTCGCAGTCTTGTCTCCCAAACGGAAGCGCCAGCCAGAGCTTGGGACCCCTTTAGGGCAGGCCCATAATAGCTGGCATGGTGCTTCTCCTGGTGCTTCTCTGCATCGGCATGACATCTTGAGCACCGGCATCTTCGTATCCTACCGCGCGGGCCGAATGCTCGCATGGCAGCGGAGCCTTCCAACCCGAGGAAGCTTCCAAGTAGGATCCAAGGACCGTTCAGGGTTTAGGGTTTAGGGTTTAGGGAAGCCTTGACAGGAAGATTAGCATCAGCCCGGAAGGAGTGTCGAAGTCAAAGGAGGGCGTGCCGCAAAGGAGTGGCCCGGGAATTCCCGCCGAAAGTACCTGCCAAGTCCGCAAACTCAACACGGATACTGGAGCGTCTGGATACCAAAGCTTCCGTTGGCCTAAATTTAAGCACCGTATATATATATGTATATATATATATAGAGGGACGACTTTATGTTTTATACTATTGTGCAGATGCACCGTTCGGGAATTATTGGGTTGGCGGCCTGATGCACATCCAGACAGACATGTCGGAATGCGTCACAACCGTAGGGGCCTTGTTTTGAGGTTCCTTGTTATAATTAGCATAATAGACACCAAAACCCTATTCTAATCATTAAGGCCCCTAGATTACTCCCTGAACCAGCCGCTGTTCGGGCTGTGTGGATGTTCTAAAGCCTGGCACAGGTACAGTTCCAGAGTCCGAGCAACGCCGCTGCTTGACAGGAGTTGATCCACACCAACACCCTCAATTCCTAGACAGACATAGACCTGAAGCCCTCAACCCATCGCAGCTGTAAAACATGATGTGTGCAGGAAGGTACTCTACACAGGTCGAACTGGGGCATTTTTTGCGAGCATCACCAAGAAGAGTTTTGATAATGTTAGTGTCTTGTTTTCTGTTTGTTTTGATGTTTGCAGCCGTGAAGTGTTAGTTTCTGTTCGGACGAACCTCGATGTCCCAAGCATCCCCAGAGAATCCGATGCATTTTCATTGTATGCAACAGGGCTTCTAGAATGTGTATAGGTACTTTTGCTCGTAGCCGGTCTGATGCTGGTAGTTGTAGTAGCAGCATACGCAGCCGTTGCAGTAGCACTAGTAGACTTGAAGAGCAGGCATTAGCAGCAGCAGTGATTAGAGTGCGGAGTCGTAGGAGCAGGGTGTAGAAGCTGGAGCAGCAGCAGCAGCAGCCGACCGCAGCGGCAGCAGCAGCAGCAGCAGCAGCAGCAGCCAACGGCAGCGGCAGCAGCAGGCGTAGTCGTGGTGTTGGTGGTCGAAGTCATACCTGTCTTCACCCTAGTCGGGCCTAGTGCAGCAGCCCAAAGAAGGCTTCTGAGACCCTTCTCAACAAGACTGTGGACGATGTTCAAACACCCCCCCCACATTGCTTGTTGCGGCCCCTAACTTAGATACCCAAGCTGTGTGACTTTTGGGAACTGAGAACTCCATCCAACTTGACGTTGCTGCACCTGCCGATTTCGACTGTCGCGCTGCCTCTGCCACTTGGCTTTTAAGGTTGAGTGTAAGACAGTTTAGGGTCTAGGGTTCATTCAAGGGTTTTTAAGTAGCAACATGCGAGATAAACAAGAAAGTAACCCTACATAATGTAGCCGCTTTTCAACCCTTTGCATCACGGTAAACCTAGCAGAACTGCCAACATCGCTACCAATGTTCTTCCTTATGCTTCCTTAGTCTAGCTGTACCGAATTTTGCCCCAACACCCCGTGCCAACCACTAAGCCTCCCAATATTACTTCGGGGAGTGAGTCCTTCTAGACCTTCCAAGGCGAACATGGTTTTAGGGTGCGCCAATAACCTCTAAGCGTGAAAGCCTCAACCATGAGACAGAGAGTTGCAACATCACTATGTCACTATGCCCATACCCTTAACAGAATTAAGAGAAATCCAACACCAACAATCCTTAAACAGCGTGCCAACTTGATGGCTTCTACCATAACCCTAAAGCCTCAACCCAAACCCTAAAACCCTAAACCCGTTAACCCTGAACCCTTATAAACTGTATATGAAGCCTAAACCCGTATGTACGGTATATGGTTGCTATACCGAATATAGTACGGCACCCGTGTAAAAAGGAAGCTAAAAGGGACCTACCCATATGAAGCCCCCTAAGCCCTAAATCCTGAAAGCCTAAACCCTAAACCCTGAACCCTAAACCCTGAAATCCTAAGCCCTGAAACCCTAAACCCTGAAACCATAAACCCTTATGTACCCGCATGAAGCCTTGTAATGTAGAAGCCTACATAATCACCAATATTCTTCCTTAGGGTTCCCTATACTACTTCTAGTAACTTCTAGTCTATAAGGAGCCCAAAACCCTACGTATTCTAACTATCCAGGCTCCTGCATTACCCGAAGGATCCAACGGACCTAATAATCATGTACTTGGGCTACGGATAGTGGTTTTGCAGGTCAGTAGTCAACAGAGTACATGATTATTAGGTACTTGGTTCCTACATTACCCTTACCCTCAAAGGACTCATATTTTAAGGCTTTTGGGCCCAAAGACCCTATTATATAAGGCTTTTGGGATATTTTGATGCTAAGGGTTAGAGAGTCCTTCTTGGGCCTCTGCGAAAGAGGCCTCCGACCGGGTGGTGACCAGTGCAACCGCAGCTTGACCTGTCGAAGTTCCACATGGTTTTGGGGTTTAGGGTTTTGGGGTTTAGGGTTTTGGGGTTTAGGGTTTAGGGTTTTGGGTTTTGGGGTTTAGGGTTTTGGTGTTTTGGGTTTTGGGGTTTTGTTGTTTTGGGTTTTGGTGTTTAGGGATTTTTTGGAGGTTTGGGGGTTTAGGGTTTAGTGTTTTAGGGTTTTTGGGGTTTAGAGTTTTGGGTCCTGGGGTTGAGTCAGTAGAGTAGGGCTGATAGAAGTGATTGTAAGGTTTGGGATTGGTTATGCGGTTTACCGCAGTGTTTCAATGTTCCGCGATTTCATGCAGTCAGGTGGAGAGTCGGTCATCGGTTGCGCAGTATAGTGTTGACGTAATAAGGCATATAGCCCGTTTTTGTGTACGAAGCAATGTCTATTGCATAGTCTTGGGGGGTTGGGATTTTCCAACGCAAATTGAATGTGTAGTCGCGTCACAGGGGTTCTACGAATTATGTGTTGGGCTGAGATCTACATGAGTGTTTTGGCGGTTTAGGGATTCTGCGAAGTAAGGTTCATTGCAATTACGGCTGTTTTTGAGTTTGTTTGCTATAATCGGGTCTAGAATTTGGGGATTTAGGGTTTCGGGGTGTAGTTCAGTTCCCATTGCTATGGTCCTTAGGCAGGGGTATTTTTGTGTGCGTGTGTGTGTGTGTGATGTTGTGCTTCAGGAAGCCTCTGAGCCAACTAGAGCTGACTTGCTTCGACTTCTGCTTTGAGAACCGGGAGTACCTGGCTTGGAGGGTTTAGGGTTTAGGGGTTTAGGCTTTAGGGGTTTAGGGTTTAGGGGTTTCGGGTTTAGGGTTTATGGGTTTAAGAATGTTTAAGATCTACTTTGACCCCCACGAAGCACAAGAGGAAGTGCCGCCATGGATCTGTGGGCAAATGTACTCGCCCCGAGTCGGTGGCAAAGGACACTGGTGTGAGCCGACATGGATGCAGCTACTGCAGAGGATCATGTCAACAGAGGCAGCAGGTTACCTATTCGATTGTCACGGTCGGAATATTGTCCCTACATAGCAAAGGTTCAAGATATCCCATTGTTTTAACTCTTAATTAAGACCCCGTTTCTTAAGTCCAACACCCGGCTTGTAAGTCATCGCTTGCTCAGGCATCTTAGTACGCTTCAAAAACCGAATTGCTCCTCAGATACACAGTGCCGCTTGTTGATCGTTTCAGGACATCCATACCTGGGACTTTCCGGTAAGGGTCTCGAATCGTCATAGAGCTCCGAAGTTCCTTTCGTATCATAGCCTTGATACGTGCTGCCAATAGCTGATAATTTTAGCCCTCCTCTTGCTAACGAACGCAGAAGCCCAAACTGTTAGCAATACTAACTAACCCTTGGTATTCCGATTGCAACATGATACTTCTATACTATTGTACCCAAGAAGCCTACTAAACCCATCAAGGCCCTTGCATTCGACCCTGTCTCATCGTTGCTTGTAAGGGTGCTCTCATTGCTGAATCTAGGACATTTTCAGGTGGGTAGTTACCGTTATAGGAGCCTTATAGAAGGTCTATATACGACCCTAAACTCCCCACCTGTAGTTTCCTTTAACTGGAGAAGAGAACCTAAAGCATAACCACGACACGCTGGGAAGCCCCAAACCTGCAGCGCGAAAGCTCCGCCCTGCTCCCTAACCGTTTTAACCCGAAGGGTTTAGGGTTTAGGGTTTCAGGGGTTTTAGGGTTTAGGGTTCAGGATTTAGGGTTCAGGGTTTAGGGGTAAGGCTTCAGGGTTTTAGGGTTTAGGGTGCAGGGTTTAGGGTTTAGGGCTACATCCTGAGCTTTAAACCCTCAGGCCTAAACCCTAAACCCTAAACCCTAAGACATCAGGGTTCAGGAACCCTTCTTGTTTAGGGTTTGGGGTTTAGGGTATTCTTGGAAGCCGAGCCCGTCAGTTCAAAGAGCTGACCCCGAGGAGTTGTCCGTGACGGTCGCAGCCAGTATCCTGGCAGGTGCCTGCACTTGACAGGATTAGGTTTCAGGGTTTAGGGTTTACGGTTCAGGGTTCAGGATCTAGGGTTTACGGTTCAGGGTTTAGGGTCTAGGGTTTACGGTTCAGGGTTTAGGGTCTAGGGTTTACGGTTCAGGGTGTAGGGTCTGGGGTCTAGTTAAGGGTTCAGGGTTTTGGGTTTTGGGGTTGAGGGTTTCAGGTGTTTCCAGTTCAGGGTTCAGGGTTTAGGGTGCATGTTTTAGGGTTCAGGGTTTCCGGTTAAGGGTTTAGGATTTGGGCTGTAATGTTTCAGGGTTTGGGATTCGTCGTGTAGAGTTTAGGGTTATGGCTGTTCGGGTTAGGTGTAATTAAGGATTTAGGGTTGAGGGGAAGCTATTTGGGGTTTAGGGTTTAAGGCTTAGGTTTTAGCGTTCGCGTGCAGGACGGCAGAGAACCTACTACATGCCACGGCCCTAAAGCCTAAACTTTAAACCCTAAACTCTAATTCCTAAACTCTAAACCCTCAACCTTAAACCCTAAACTCTAAACTTAAGCCCTATAAGCCCAAAATCCTAAACCCTACCTTCAACCCCTGAAGCCTGAAACCACGAGCCCGAACCCGAGACCTTGAATTGTAGACCCTAAACCTTAAACTTAAGGTTCCGGATTTTGGGTTTAACGCTTAGGGTTTAGGGCTTAAGGTTTAGAGTGGACCCTCGCTCACAATTTCTCGTCCATGAAGCCAGGCCCTAAACCCGACAAGCGCAAATAAAACCCGTAGAGACAAGCTAAAAGAAAGCCCCAAGCCCTTATAGAAGTAGACAGTCGCTCGTTACGGAACCCCAATAGGAAACCCTAAACCTAAACCCTAAACCCCCCGTGAAGCCCAGAAGCCCGGTAACCCCCCAAACCCGAAGCCCTAAAGCCTAAACCTAGGAACTTCAAAGCCTCAGGTGCCACTCTGTCGCCGCCACTTCGTTTGTCCAGCATCCGCTTGGGATCACCCGGACCTGCAAGCAGCTCTGGCTGAGAAGTCAAGGGCGTAAAAGCTTCGCAGGGCTATGGTTCCAGAGCCTGGACTTTGCGAGTTTAGGATTGGGTGTAGTTTAAGTTAAGACTTCGGCTTCCTACATGGCATTCTGTCTACCTGTCTTTGTGACTGCGTATCTTTCTAAAACTGTCTTGGACATTCACCCACCCACCCACCCACCCACCCACCCACCCACCCACCCACCCACCCACCCACCCACCCAGCCAACCATCCTCTCTTCTTCTTCTCAGTTGCCTGGGTTCCTGTATGCAGGGTGTTGGGTGCAGAGGCAGAGCTTCTCAAAAGTCAGTAGAAGACACAACGGTTGAACGGTTGTGGCTGAGGGCAGAACCCTAGGGCTCCAAGTATACAAATGGTACCTACTTTGGGGTCTAAAGTCTGTAAATAGTACCTACATTGGGCTATTTGGTGCCCCAGGGTAAGGGTACATGGACAGTATCCTACTCGTGAAGAGGCTGGCCACTTTCGGTTGATAGCTCCAGGATCATGAGGATTTGTGGGTCAGGATTGGTGGTATCAGGAATAGGCTTAAACGTTCCACACCCATTGCGCATTCTGGCATTTCTGCCGTGGTTTGCAATGGAGGGGTGTGTGAACCTTCTTTGGATATGAGTATAAGGACAGCAGCACCGAGCCAAAGTGTATATGTATACACTTATGTATGTATGTGTATAACATGCATGTGCGTGACTCTCTCTCTCTCTCTCTATCGCTCCCTCTCTCTATGTATACATGTACATATAAACGCAAGGACGCGTGTTGCGGCGACGTGTCACGACGAACGCGGGGTATGTCCGGTTCGTCGTTCTCCTTTCTAGGCGACTGCCACTGTGTCGTTTACTTTTGCTCACAAGGCGCTTGCACATTAGGACAATTCGTGTACATGAATGAATGCCCCTATAGTGTCTTTGCTTGGATGTCTATATATATATA